CCAACAAGGTAGTAACTGATTAGTTGAATGGAATCTATTAATGAGCCAGCTCTGTTATATAATAATATATATATATTATTTTTTTTTTTCAAATTATTAAGGAAAACTGCAGACTTCTGTGCATCATTTATATGCCATTCCAAACTTTCATGACAGGTATACAATGAAATATCACCCATTAGATGATCTGTGAGACCAATAATTTTTTGGAAATAACTTATTTTTAACAATCAACATGTTAAGCTTTTCTTACAATTTTTTCAAAAGGTACGTGGTGCACTGAATTAATTATCAACAAATCTACTTAAAAACCTAAAATGACAGCTAAAACCTGGTGCAATATTTTATAGCTCAAGCATCAAACAAGAGAGGTTACATATTTCCTTTTTGATTATTACTAATGTAAATGTTAATTTAATTATAAGTATATTTATTTTAAACTGTTTGTTTGTTTGTAATTAACCACAAAGCTACACAATGGGCTATCTGTGCTCTGCCCACCATGGGTATCGAAACCCGGACTCTAGTGTTGTAAGTCCGCAGACATACCGCTGTGCCACTGGGGGGCTATTTTAAACTGTATATTCTAATTCTGGATATGCCTTTGTAATAATATAACATAAAATATGTGTTCATATGTCATTAGAATGTACTTAACTGCAGGACTGAAGGTCAAGCCTCAGGTTTACAAATAAATTTAATTTTAAGGACTTTCTTAACTTTTGAGACTTTTTAACTGCTGTAAATATGATAGGCCTAACATTTAATATGTTAGAGTAAGAATAACAGTAAAAAAGGAGATAAGAATAATATTTTATTCCATCAAAGCATGGTTCTAAAGTTACTGAATCAGTATGAGTGCACTTTGACAAAAGGAACAGAGGATATTTTGAAGAAAGAATGACCAAACAACTATTGGAAAAGCAGTATAAGACTCTGGTAATTTGTGCCACAATTGTAAATGAATTATACACAGCATATTAGTGTGATAGAAATAGGGAAAGGTAGTTCATCTTGTCAACTGAAATTCCAAAGCAACTGAATAGGCCTAAGTGGACTTTTTACAAGAAGAAAACTACATATGTGGTGTTTATGATATGTCTATAATCTCTATAGTGTAAAGAATATGTTGTACATACATTTAACATGTTCAAAATATATATATATATTATTTTGAAAACAAGTGGAGTGCATGCTGTTTATTTATTACTGAATTTATCCCCAGTAAGTCACAGATACTTACTGTGGAAGAATCCCAAGCCCAATTACAATAACAACAACACAACCATATATTTACTTACTCTATATGCAAGCTATAAAAATTTTCCTGACATATGGAAATGTTCATTTGAAACTACAAAAGAATATAAGTAATGTATATAAATTATGAATCCAATATCAGTGGAAAGTAACTGACATGCATGCATACCACAAACCATAGTTGATTCTATGACCCATTCAACATGAACCCTTAAGGATACAACTTTTCTCTGGTGACAGTTAAAAGTTTTCCTGACACTAACAGACATTCCAGAAGACTTGAGATCATCCTCTATATTAGTGGTTCTTAACCCTTGGGTCACCAAGCCATTTTGAGTAGGTCACCAAGGGGCTCCAGTGACTATCCAAACCTTTCCTTTGTAGTCCAACTATGCCAAGGGGTCTATTTGAAGGCATGGGTCACCGAGCTAGCTCTACAACCAGAATTATAATGTTTTGTGACAACATGGGACCTATTGGTCCATCTCAGCTGTTTCATCCTCTAAACTATATTAAAATAATTTTTAAAAAAATCTTAAAGCCAGCCCTTATCACTCATGCACTTATCAAGCTTTCTCTTAAACTCACTTAAATTTACTGCCTCTTCTAGTAACCCTTCTCTGAACCCTTTCCAACAATTCAATGTATTTACTAATGTAAGGAACCCAAGACTGAACATAATATTCCAAATGTGGCCTAACCAGTGACTTGTACAATGAAATTATAGCCTCTATAGATTTGTATTCAATATTTCTGTAGATACAACCTAAAATCCTATTTGCCCTACCACTAGTAACAGCACACTGCTTGGATGGTTTTAAGAGACTAATCGACTATTACACCAAGATCCAATGTTAAGGTTATTCCCATCCAAATGATACTTAAAATTCAAATTATGATAACCCACATCCATTATCTTGAATTTATTATAATCAAAACCCATTCGCCATTTATTTGCCCAATTCACTGAATGATGTAAATCCTTTTGTAAATCAGCAGCATTCTCTTCACAGCTAGCAACACTCAAGACCTTAATATCATCTGCAAATTTAAGTAATTTATTGACTATTCCTTCATATATGTCATTGACTTAAATCAAATAGAGCAAAGTTCCTAAACCTGAACCCTGAGTTACCCCACTTGTGACATCAATCCAGTTTGACTGAACTTCATTTATAACAACCCTCTGCTTTCTTCCATCAAGCCACTCTTCTATCCAATTTGCTAACTTATCTCTCCATACCTATAGAAGTAATTTTTTCAAGCCTTTTATGTGGCACCTTGTCAAATGCTTTCTGGAAATCTAAATACAAATCTACACCCTTACCCTCATCTACATAAGCAGTAACCTTTTCAAAATATGTCAAAAGATTTGTAAGGCAAGATTTGCCCTTAGTGAAACCATGCTGACTATCCAATAAAATTCTAAACTTTGTTAAATGACTTTGTAAAGCATCTTTTAACAGACTTTCCAAAACTTTTCACACAACTGATGTAAGACAACTGGATCTATAATTACTGGGACAAAGAAATTTTAAGAACTACTGATCTATATCAAAGCCTCTGTCAACCATTATAGTCACCCTCCTCTAGGAAATATTACACTTCACAGTCCCTTTTTATTGCTTTGTCACTAGTCAATCCTGGATAAAAAGGAAACACAAATGTGATAGCAACAAATGATGTAATGGCCACTAC